CCAATGAAAATTTTATCTCTTAACAACTCTAATCGTGTGTCACACAGATTTTGTAAATGTAAGATGTCACGTTGTATTTATGTACGAAAAAAGTCAAATTTAATTATAAGTTCTATGAAACTGAAATAACATGGTTATTGTGTCTCCTCGCGTGGATGCAATACAGTGAACCTCAGTTTCTCAATAATCTTACTAAAGGATACAGAACCATGGTTTCTACACAGTATACTTACATTTGCCATATGACATTATTTCAACTGTATAATACTACTGTATACAACATACTGCACTGAAGGAATTACAAAAATAAAAATAAAAATAAAAATAAAAAAATTTTAAAAAACAGGTTCTTCAGTTGGAAAATTCAGCTAGAACTTGAAAAGCTGAATAGATAGAAGGTTGAACAATTAGAGTATAACTACCAAATAAGGAAGAAGAGAGAAAATTACCAGCATTACGAAATTCGTCCGCTGTCTTCGAGCATCATTCCTTTAAGACTTTTAGCCAACCAGATAGCCGTATCCCTTGGAGAGACTTTTTCTTTTCCAAAAGGTTTCAAAATGACAGAAAGTTCTTCTAGTCGATGCTGTTGAAGCAAGTCGGCAGACAATTCGAGTAGCCCTTCAAGTGCCTCAGCTCTCTGTCTGAAGGAGTTCACGTCTAAAGTTTCCTTCACTAGTGATTTTTCGGGTGCAACAACAGGATTGATTTTTGCTGGTTCTGATGAATCTGATTTTGGAACCATGGGAATGGAATTATCGGAAATCGAGCCTATTTCCTTGTTGACAGGATTTTCACAACTCGCGTTTTCAGAGAAACTAGATGATTTTGGAACAGCAGAATAAGCTGGACTTTTTATATCAGGTTCGTCGGTCATCACATTTACCAGTTTCCCAACATCCAGATTTCTCTCCACATCTTGGATTACCGGCTGCTCACTACCAACTTGGAAACTACTGTGACGAATCACATGTATCACCCCATCAAAAGAAGGTGGGAAATGAGTACCAGACAGCTTTTCTTTGATTGCATTTCGCGAAACAACTCCATCATCCAACAACAATGACTTCTGGCTCAACGAAACAGGTGAGGCAGAGGAAGGAGAACATTCTGTTGCTAGAGAAACAAGTCTTTTCACCATATATTTATCATTATCACGGGATGCTGAAGTCGGGTTTGACCAAGCCAGATGATAAGGATTGTCCTTTTCACCTGCAAGTAATTCCTCAGGAACATGTATCCCCGTGGTTATGTTAGAACTCGTGTTCCCATCACAATGACCAGCATCCGTCACTCGATAGTCTGAGCATTCTTCGGATGTTTCAGAAAAGATTCCAATAGAATTGAACTTATTTCCATGATTATCGCTAGATGGATTTTCGAGCCTTTCAGAGTGTGACAAGGAAGATGTGTAACAGCTGGGTTGAGACTCAATGTTCTCAGTTGCAGTGGCTTGACGGTGACTGGATTTACTGTTACATCCTTCTTCTCTACATAGATCTTCTAGCCTTTCCAAAGGTGACGTTGAAGATGTGTAACAAGTGGGTCGAGACTCAATGATCTCTGTTTTAGTGGCTTGATGATGACTGGACTTATTGTTACTTACCAAAGTTTCTCTATATTTATCATCTAGACTTTCTGAGGGTGGCGTTAAAGATGTGTAACAACTGGGTCGAGACTCAATGATATCAGTTTCAGTGGCTTGATGATGACTGGATATACGGTTACGTACCTGAGTTTCTCTACATTGATCTTCTAGAGCTTCTGAGGGTGATGAGGAAGACGTGTAGCAGCTTGGTTGGGATTCAGTTTCAGTGGCTTGATGATGGCTGGATCTATTACATCCCTGAGTTTCTCTAAGTCGATTTTCTAGCGCTTCTGAAGGGGATGAGTAAGATGTGTAACAGCTTGGTCGAGACCGGATGATCTCAGTTTCAGTGGCTTGATGATGACTGGATATACGGTTACGTACCTGAGTTTCTCTACATTGATCTTCTAGCATTTCTGAGGGTGAAGAGGAAGATATGTAACAATTGGGATGAGACTCGATGATCTCAGTTTCAGTAGCTAGATGATGACTTGATTTATTACGTCCCTGAGTTTCTCTACATTGATCTTCTAGCATTTCTGAGGGTGAAGAGGAAGATATGTAACAATTGGGATGAGACTCGATGATCTCAGTTTCAGTAGCTAGATGATGACTTGATTTATTACGTCCCTGAGTTTCTCTACATTGATCTTCTAGAGCTTCTGAGGGTGATGAGGAAGACGTGTAGCAGCTTGGTTGGGATTCAGTTTCAGTGGCTTGATGATGGCTGGATCTATTACATCCCTGAGTTTCTCTAAGTCGATTTTCTAGCGCTTCTGAAGGGGATGAGTAAGATGTGTAACAGCTTGGTCGAGACCGGATGATCTCAGTTTCAGTGGCTTGATGATGACTGGATTTACATTCTCCTCTGTGATTTTCTCTGGACAGACACTCTAACCTTTCAGAAGGTGAGGAAGAAGAGCCAGAATAACTTGGCCCAGATTCAAGAATTTCAATTTCAGCCACTTGCTCATGACTGCAGAGTAAGTGTTCAGATGAGCTAATAAAAGGAGTCGATGCGTCATAACAGATTTCAAATCCTTGTATCGATACTGAAGAGGATGCAGAATTGCTGCTGTCCGCCTGCACTCTTTTAGACACAGCAGATGCGGTCTTTTCCGAGTTCTTCACAGTTTCCCTCGGAGTGTGTGGATGACAACCATACGGCACAGAATCCGGAGATTTTTCAGTTTCCTGATTTTCCATAGGTCCCACCTTCATATTATTGTCCATCCTATTTGGAGAGTCACAGTTCACTTGCCTCATCCGTCCAGGAAATGGAGGCCTTTGCACTAGGGTCGGAGGGGTTTTTTGTCTCATCTTTGTAGGGAATCCATCTTCAGCAATGACCTTTACAAGACCAGACGGAGGAGTTCCCTCATGTCTAGGTTTAGTCTTTGGAGGGGTTTCCATGACAGGTAGCTGCAGATGAGTGTTGAGATAACTCAGAAAGCAAATTTGGCTACTTGCAAGTAATTTACCAATAAATAAATATTTTCATATCGATCAAAGTTAGATATAAGTACTTGCTCTGAAAATAACAAATATTTTTTTCTCAAATGTACAAAAAAGTAACATATCCAAACATGTTAGGAAACAGAAGTCTACCAAAAAGAAAAACTTATTTCCAACTCTGAATTCTAAAGAGTTTCATGTCCAGACAAGGAATAAAATTCCAGTACCTGGTGCTTCATAGAATGTGTTGCTCGTATTCTTTTGGTGGAGTCCGAGTTGGCCTTTACTAATGCAGCAGGTGGTATCTCTGCATTAGCCTTAAAACCAGGATTCACCAAACCTGGCTTGGTGATTTTCATAGATGCTTCAACAAAAGATTTCTGGTTACCCAAATTACTTACTTTCTGGTTGCTTCTCATGGGAGAACTGTTTTCTTGCACTTTTCCTTCTTTTAGAGCAATAATAATTTTTTTAATCGTTCTTGGTTGCTTAGGTTCAACGCTAGATCTCTGTTCCTCTTGCAACGGCTTCATAACTTCGTGATGCTTTATAGTTGTAGAGACAGTGTAATTTTTCTGTTGGTCCTTCTTTAACTGAAGCTGACCACAGTTGACATCATCAAGGGAAGCCAAATCCATATCTTTGGCTTTATGTCCACAATTGATGACAACGCCTTGCATGTTTTTTTCACACGACAGTAAGTTATCTCTGTCACTGGAAGAACTGTTACTGCTTTGGCCTTCGGCAATACTCTTTCCAGTGTCACGAGTCCCAAAAAGAGGCTTTCCTAGTGCAGGAGGACAATTCGAGGGGCGGAACTGGTCAACATAAGGCTGTAGATATGGGTGTTTTAGGATTTCGGATGCCTAATAAACATGAAAATAGATAGTTATAATGGTATCCTTATAAATGAAGTACATGAATAACTTGCAAACTCATACTGAAGTTCTTACACTTGGTCGACGTTCGGGGTTTTTTCTCAACATGCCTTTGATTATTGTTTTCCTGCAAATAAAAAGTGCTTCACATTATATCACAGTACACTACTGCACCATACAATTGCCATACCACGATGCAAATTATAAACATCATCCAAACCTTAAAAAATACCATTAAAATGAACCATAAAAAGAAGGATCTCAAAAAGAACACATCTTTCATGCACCAGAATGTTTAGCAATTCATCAAGGACACTGTTAAAAATTACAGTGCAACCAAGAACGGTTAGACGCCCAACAGAGCGTTAAATGTCAAAGCAAACTGCAAATCAGCCAGAAAGAGCCTCAAGGTAGAGGTGGTAAGCAGGCTGTGCCAGTTTTAGGGTGGTCGAGCGCTAATGGAAAAACTATAAATCCGACCAAAGTAAAGGCCAAAGCAACTGATCACCAAATATATAATAGCTCAAACAACAATTGTAATTTTTCAACACCTATGATGAAATGCGAGTAGTGAAGAACTCGAGGAAAGGCAAACACATGGCCTTAAAGTACATAGCACAGAGGAAAAATATATTAATAAATATAATTATGACTACGGATATAACAATTGACTTACAAGGATGGGGAGTAACAGGAAGGCAAAGGGCCAATGGATGACCGGTTGATCTTGCTTATTAATCCTGCCATGTCCTGAAATATAAACGCCACTATCAAGAATGACGAAGTACTTAAAATGAGTGAGAAACCCAAACTGTTGAAAAGCAACATTCAGAAACCAACTTTACAAACACGTGAATGACCTTGCATATGGTTAAATTACACATATACAAAATATACAGAGAGATGAGGGGGGAAAAAAAGGAGACAAACAATTTAAGAGAAAAAGGCAAAAAGTAGAGGCAAAAATAAAAATAAAATGGGGACAGGAAAACTCACAAATGCCTTGAATGCATGACGATGAGCAGCCATTTCATATATACAGCAACCTGATCGAAATATTAATGGGAGAAGTAAGAAGGAAAACAGGCAAAAGATACATATATCAAGGATCAGGTTTGAGTGCAGTAACTTCGAGCAAATAATTAGTTATCCATAGGCTATAATCATCTGTCATGCTCAGAAATTGAATAAAAACATAGAAACCACCGTGTATAAGCATCTCATGAGTTATTGAATGAAAAGTCACAAAATGGATCTATTACACTTTATTAAGCTTTGATAGGATTGCACAAACAGTCATCTTATGAATAAATTGGAAACAGTTCTACATATTGAAATAGGGAAAATGTAAGAATAGACGTACCAAGGGACCAAATATCGGATTTAAAACCATAAGGAATATCTGCAAGAAGTTCGGGGCACATGTAATTAGGAGTTCCTACTACCTGGGCATAAAAAAAAGACAGTGAATCATTTCCCAAATGACCTTACACTCAATTCTGGCAATATAATTATTTGAGTATACATTGTTGTAAAAACATTGCTGCAGGAGAAGGACCTTTCTCTAGGACAATTCTTTGATAAATATAAATATTATCAAAGATCATAAAGCAAACCATTTTAATCCGAGGGATAAAAGGGATTAAGTTAATGTCAGTTTCAAAGACATTCATCTTGGATAAAAGGAGTTTCTAGATATAAATTACACCTTTTAATATTGGTACTTTCTTTGTTTCTTTGCTTATACACAACTTAACCATAAAACATATTCTTCAAATGTTCTCGCTTCAGTGTTAGACAACGAAGTTCTTTAAACAATAAATATTTGGAACGGAGAGTTTTGATACAGTCACATTCATTTTTTCAACAGAAGGACAAAATGTTACAACTGTTGCACTAAATTGTTAGGACTTGAAATTATAACAAACAAGATTGTAGTCTTTTCCCCTCAAAACTTTGCAGTGCTATCCTATCCCAACCAGATACGCCAATAGGTCTAATAATTCCCTGTCCTCCTCTGTGAAATATACCTGAATCCATTAATTGTATATTGCGTACTTTAAAACTATACATGCAAAGACACTGTATCTAGTCTTCTCAAATATTATTTAACTTCACCGGAAACAAGGGGGACGGATAAGATATATACTAAAAGCACGTACTGAAGAAGCCAAATCATCTGCCTTCAGGGTTTTAGCAAGTCCAAAATCCCCTGCAAAGTAGAAGTCAACGAAGAAGATTATTCAAACTGAGGAATATGTTGTTTTAAAGTCAATAAAAGAAAATAAATGCAAACTCACCTAGACGAACATCTTGATCTTTTGTAAGAAAGATATTGGAGCACTGTCAAGAGAAAGTGACACGAAAATCAATAACATGGAATCATTTTGAAAGAAACATAAATAATCGCTAAAACAGTATTCATAAACATACTTTCAGGTCCCGGTGCAGAACAAATTTTGAATGCAGATACTCAACTGCCAACAATAGTTGAGCAAACCATTTCAAGAGTTTCTGTACACAGCACATGATTAAAAAAGAAAAGGTGAATTGTGCACTAAGTTATTGGAGCTGATGAAGGGAAAAGCAGAATTCTCTATGTTGAAAAGGAATTGTATATTTATCAAAAGTGCTGTTAAAAGAGGTATTTAAGTAGAACTGACACCTCCTCGGGAAAGAACTGCCCATTTGATTTTTTCATAAGTTCAGCCCTGATAAAGCAATTATCAATAGCTTGTAAAAAGTGTGAGAAAAAATCTAACCAATAATATGATAACATTGTTGAAATTTTTATTTATCAATACTTACATGTCGCGACCCTCACAATAGCCAGTAACTATACAAACGTAGCAGCCCTACATAAGCATTTTGCAAGAAAGAGGTCAGTTGGGGAAAAAATGCTAAGAATATTTTTTATGAATCAAAAGAAATAATCAAATTGCAGCAGTAAGTAGAAGTCCAGGCTCTTACCTTCTCTACCCATGCTTCCTTGAATTCAACAATGTATGGATGTTGTATCCGTGCAATTAGGGCCATCTATAAATTAAAATACCCGAGCACTTTTAAACTTTCCTAGTCAATAATAGTATGCATTGGAACATACATATGCATTACAGGGTCGCACAATAAAAGATAAAACTGGCAGTAAATATCCAGCTTGAGACTTTTCAATGATAAAAGAGAACAAAGGAAAGGTCAATACAAAAATTCACTCAATCGAGCTGAGCAAAAATCATTTAGACCATTAACCGAGTAATTTTTATAAATTAAGTCACAACTGCTCCACATATAGTTCCTCGAACCACATTTTCTAAATGAACCAGAGCCAATCTGAATTGACCTTGTAAAAGATCCGAGAGACCAGGACAAGGTCAGGAGCCTAAAGTATCGAAAAAGGCAAGGACTCCAAGAAGAAGCCAAGTCTGAGGCAAAGAACAATTCTGAAGATGCTAAAGCAAATTACTCGAAAAAACTATCAAGATTTCCAATATCAATGACAGGGCTATCTAACAGAATAATTATTTCTGATCACCAAACAAATGCCTGTCATAAAAATTTAACATTTATCAAACCAACGAACATATGATCTAAATAATTATCAAAGGTAAAACCAATACTAACTAAAATCAATAGCAACATCAGTATACCTCTTGATGAGCAGATCTTCTGCAACGCTCTGTTTGTCGAGCCAACCTAATCTTCTTGAGCACATACCTATTTTTTCATTTCCAAGCATCAGGAAAAAAATTGTCGGATTGTTGTATACTTTAAAAACAATTTTTGCAAAATAATACGAAAATGAGTGGATCTAATATATAATTTTATGTCATACTTTTTTCTTTCCAGCTTGTGATTGACCAAAATGGCTGCCCCAAAAGCCCCACGACCAATTTGCTCCATGATCTCGTACTGATCCATCCTTGATTCCATCAGTCACCGATCTTGAATCTCAAAACCCTAAATACCTCCCTGCATTAATACATAGAGAGCCAAGAAAATTGAAATCTTTATTGGTCAATTCTCGGGATTAGTATTCAAAATGAGCATTAAGTTCTTGAAATCAAAAGGGCATTTTATAGGCACTCAAGAAATGAGTCTTTTATGGGTTCGATTAACAAAGCAAAAAAGTGAGCTTGGAATGTGAGATTTGTTATTAGATAATTATCAGTCTTTTATGGGTCCGAAATATATGGAAGTTTCAGGTTTTTGCAGAGGGAAGACGTACAGTGTAGACTGTAGAGTAGATTATTTTATCTTCTTAATGGCTTAAGATTCAATTAATCGTAATTTAAACATAAAATTCTGCAGCTAATCATAATTGAGGAGCAGTAGTTTTGGGTACAACTTTTAACTAATATTTCTGCATCTTCCATCCAAGGTTTCGGGTGGTGCCTTTAAAAGTCACATTTTGATTCCCAACCAATTAAAATACGTAAATTTGAATCCCATATGATCGAAATTTTCAATCTCTACTATAGAATTATATTTTGACAAATTTATCTTCTCACTTTTAACTATGTGAAAATTATCTTCGACTTTAACGTTCAAATTCACAATTTCTATTTAAAGTTAATGTTTAAATAAGCTTACTCCATGCCGACAAAATCAGCTGCTCTTCAAATGATGAAGCGGGGCCCATAGCCATCACGAACTAATTTTGGCCGTAGATCTATGAGAAGTAATTGTATTTTCCCAATTTCGAAAAGTTGGCTCAATAATTAAAAATAATAATAAGAATAATCACTTTTAGTTGAGTACATTCTGTGGGTAGAGTGTCAGCTGACCTTTTGCATTAATTTCAGTGTCAATAATAGGATTTGGTTGGTTCTTCCTTCGCGAAATGTTACATGTATGTGGGAAAAACGAAGAAAATTTGCCACATTTTCAACTGTGGAAATTACAAAAACACTGGTGTTTCAACTTCACAGTGCGAAAATCAGGTACAAAATTGTTTTAATCAAATTCAAGTATTAAATTAATAATTAAATATTATACCCATCCCACCTAATCCCACATAAACCCTATCGTTTTTTTATATATATCTCTCTCTCTATACTCTCTCCCAGACGGCCTCATCTCTCTCTCTACCATCTCTCACAAGTGGCCATCGTTGTTGAGGAATCATGACCAAAGATCCGAGCGCTGCTACGATGCCCGTTGATGTGAGAGTCGAGCACCGTCGATGAAGCCTGCGCTGTTTAATGAGCGACGGTGCAAATTTTGGTTGTGCTATATTGTTCGAACTTTCGATCTGGTGGCTTCGAAATTTGGGGAGGGGGGGCTGGTTGCTTGTCGTTGGTTTTTGGGTGATTGTGGTTGGCAGTGGTAAGGTGGTGTTGATGGTCGTGGAAGTGGCGACGATGGTTATGGATGGATTGGCGTTGGATATGGGTGATGTTGGTCTGATGTGATTGGTGGTGGTGTTAACTATACACAATTTGAATTGGTGGTGGTGGTGGTTTTTTTGCTGAATTGGTGTTCATTTTGTTGATGGTATTGATGTAGTGCAGTCGATGGTGTGGTGTAAGCACAATTACGTGGTGGTGATTTGTGACTAAGATTGGTGGTGGAGGTATTTGGTGTATGTGACCAACTATTTAGAATATGTGACCAATAAATTTGAACATATGTGATCCTGTGACTTGTAATTTTTTTGATTTGTGACCAATGAAATAATTTGTGATTTGTAAATTTTTTATCTGTGACCTA